GCCAGTAGATCGGCATGTAAGGCGGACAAATCTGGAATAACGCGGTGCCTCTCCTCTCCCCGAATGGCGCTCAGTCCGCCGTTCTCTTCTAAAATCTTCGGACGAGAGAGGTCAAACGGACTCGCACGCAACTCGTCGCGCGACCTCGTCGAGGTACCGTAAGGTAGAGACCCCGTGCGGATCTCCTCTCTCGGCCGGGATAATTTCGGACGCAGAAGCTGACGGAGGTGCGTTCTCGTTCGCGCTCGAAAGATCGGGTCCCGACCCGTGACCGAGGATCGTTGTATTCCAACAGCGGGGAGGGAGAGGAGGAGAGGAGCGATCGCACATGGCTTCGCGACGCGCTTCTCGCCTCGGTTTCGCGACGCAAGCAGCGGCAGAGGCTCGCGTTGTCTCCCGTGCTTTTATCCCGCTCTCGATCGAGCGGATAACTCCTTGCCTTCGCGCGGATTCAATCCCGTCATTCCGCCGCTCGCCCCGGCTACGTAATCGGACAGAATAATACCGGCCGATCGCTCCCGCGACGATAACAATCTATCGAGGCGGCCGAGGTCGCCGTCAAATGCGTGTGAGCCAAAGTGGAAGAGAATCGATTGCTTTCAGGCGCCTCTCTCTCTCTCTCTCTCTCTCTCTCTCTCTCTCTCTCTCTCCCTCTCTCTCCCTCTCTCTCTCTCTCTCCTCGTACGTGCGCGCTTACTCCATCTTCTGAGCGACGCGACGCGACGGACTCGCGCGATCGCTCTTTCGGAATTGGGGTGTGTGTAATCGGCCGCGGCGCGGGTAATACTCTTCCTTCATTCAATACCTGCGCAATAAGAGTCGCGAGACCGAGCGGACCTTCGCGACCGCCGCGAGACGCCGCGGGGGAGCTCGTCGGGCGAAGAGAAAAATTAGGAAACGCTAAGAGAGTAGCGAAAGATAAGTGATACGCTGAGAGATACGGGGGAAAACGGCGAAGCAATATTATTCGTCGATCTTGATGAGAATTTCACTTCTGTTGCCTCAGCCGACGGCGCTGCTCTTCCTCTCTCTTTCTCTCTCAAACGTCTTTTAATACTTCTTTGTGGATATGTATGATTTTCTGGATGTAATATTCCTTCGTGCGATTCGTCGTAGCTGCTCGCGACAAGATCGCGTCGAGAGAGCGCGCCCCCTTGTGAAGTCCCTCGGGGGTGGGACGAGAGAGGGAGAGCGGGGGAGAGAGAGAGAGAGAGGCGGGACGAGAGTCGCCGGGGCGAAATGAAAAATCGAGGTACGCGGATCAACGCGAAGGCACTTTCCTCGATTTCGATTGATTTTAAAGTGCGCGGGACGTCGCCGGCCGTGAAAAGCGGCGATGGCCGACTTTGTTCGGCGCGGCGCGGCGGGCCGCTCACGGTTTATCGTAAATCGCGCTCGAGAGCGGGAAAAAAGTATTCCGCACCGATAGCGCGCTTTCCACGCATCGTCTGGAGTCGGCGGTGTTAGGCAAAATATATTTCGATTCGCGTATTATCGGCGAATGCATTCGCGCGAGCAATCAAGTTATCGATCGCGGCGCTAGCAATTTTATTCGTTTCCGATGACTCGTTGGAAACAACCGATAAAAATAATAGCAATCCCATCAGCGATTGCTCTCGACGATTTGCAAGTGAACTCGCTGGAGGAAGGAACAAAAACAGCCGTCGATGAACGCGCTCAACGCAAGACACGACGAGACGATACGATAAATGTTCAACGAATGTATAATTGTAGTAATAATAACGATAATAACAAAAAACGACCGTTCCTCCGCACTCGTAATTTCGCGTCCGCGATCTCGCGTCGAGTAACAGTCCGCTCTTGCATCGAATAACACCTCCGAATAACACCTCAGCCTCGCGCCATCGCGCAGTTCCGCTTCCGCCCGCTTACTTTCGGAGGTCTCAGGAGACGGAGGGGGGGGGAGGAGGAGGGCGAACCTCCGGGCAAGATTCCAGGTGGATTCTGTGCGCTTTTATTTTATTTCGACAAAATGTTTCACCTCGCCCACTCGCCGACGATATTGAACAATCCCGAAATAAAGGCTTTTTGATGACGGTTGCTTTTGAAGGTTAGTATAGCGTGATACATTGTGCGCGCTCTCTCTCTCCCTTTCTCTCTCTCTCTCTCTCTCTCTCTCTGCGACGGTGACGACGTTCGTCGGAGAGAACCTCCACGAGTTCCTTGCTCTTATTCCGATTAACTCCAATCAATGAATGCGACAATTGACTTTTCCGCTGAAGAGCGGCGGAAGACTTTCGTATTCTCCGTCACGCACACAACGCACAAGTCTCTTATTCGACGAGTCTCTTTCTCTACGAGCGTCGCGAGGCATCGTACCGCCAGGAATAGAAGCGACCTCGACAACAGCATTGCCGTTTATATAAACGGCAAATCGTTATGATTTCGCGTCAATGATACCATTCACGTGAGTGGCTCGTGCGTATTTCTGTTCCCGGCGGCTGCTCCTGGCAATACGTGCTTCTCCTTTCACTTTTGCGGGCAGGTCCCGTGTAAAGTTCGGGCTTCGCGGCGGCGAGATAACGTTCACGCGCGTTCCGCCTCGATCTCGATAATTCCTCAACGCTCTAACTGCCCGGCCTCAGTCAGCCGGCGATCAGTCAGAGGTCGTAAAGAGCGAGGGGGCGAGGGTGCGAAGATCGCGTAAAAGAAAACAAGCAGGAAAAGTCGCCCTTAGACGAGACGGCGCCGGCGGTGTTATTACCTTTCCCCCATAACGACGCAAACAAGTTGTATAGCGCAACGGTCCAGAAGCGGGGGAGTAAAAAGGAGGGAAAATGCCCGGTGAACTACGCGTTTATCTGTCCCCGGCGTGCAGTCGGCCGCGTTAATTGCGAGTGTCGTGCTCGCAAAGATGTCTCGATCGTTTCCGTTTTTTTTTTTTCCGCGCGAGCTTGCCGATTTACGGGCCGTCTTTGCTCGCGAGCATCGCCCGAATCGATCGCCTCGTCGGAGACGACACGTCGGTGGACGAGACGCAACGAGTAATCAGAATTTCAGAATTCGGAAGCTGTGGGCTAATTTCCCGGAAAGTCGTAACAGCCGGGATATAATTTTGTCGAGATATACGACCGTTCCGAAGAAAAACCATCACCCTCCTCCCCTTGCAAGCAATGCAAGACATATTAATGTCCGCCTATCAACGTGCACCTTTGCTATGTGTTCAAATGAATAGATACTAATATAGTCGGCTGTACTACAATGTAACACAATTCCAATATTCCGACGCGATTGAATTTCGTCCCGGTATTGCGCTGTTTGAGAAAATTTTTCCGCTTTTTCGGTACAATTTTTTTCTTTCTTTTTCGGGACGATGCATAATCGCCGAAATCGCGGTCGTCGCTCTCGTTCGAGCCGGCAGAAAATGTTCCGGGCGGTAAAATCACGCGCGATTTGATCACGAGCGAAGCTGATTTTTCGACATCGATTTGTTGTTGTTGATTTGTCTCGATATAATCGAGCGGAGAACACAAAGCGACCGTTGTCGGACTTTCCTGCGCTTTGGCACGCTCGATAATGCTATGCAAATGTCAATGGTGAAACCGTTCCGTCGCCGCTCGTGAAAAGCTCATTATGCGAGCAGATAAATTCTCCGGGTTGCCCGGTGAAATCTCCGTTATTACCTGGATTGCGATTGCGCCGTCAGTCGTTGCGCCGGTTGATTGATCTGATGCTTTATGAGACACGCGTCCGTATTATCGCCTCATTTGCGTGCCGTCGCGTCTAATTGAAAGCGAAGCGCGACCGATCGAGGGCGATTTCAAACATTACCTTCCGATCGGGAAACGACAATCCGCGAAGATAGACCGCGGCAGCAAGTTGGCGAAAAATAAAAAGTCAAACACGCGCGCGATATATTTGTACGCGCGAACTCTCCTTTCTGCGTGCTGCATTTTTTTGGTCCTCGGATGGAAAGTTATAATCCCATTATAGATCTAGGAGAAAAAAAGAGCGTACATTCATTCATCGACCGTGTAGCAATAATAATTAGGTTACAGAAAAACGGCGGAGGGAGCAAAAATAGCTCGCCGAGAGATGGGAGGGGCGGGGAGGGGAGGGGGAATCTTTCGAGGCACAGCAGCAGTTTCATTTCAGAGACTCGTACATACCAGATTGCGATCTCGTAGATACGACAATGAACTTGATGTTAATGCCCCGATAATGAGCACACGAAGCGGGCGTCGCTCCTCGCTTTCTTAAATTTCTCGGGAATCGGAAGAGGCGAAAGAGCACTTCCAAGGAACTATAAGAAAACGTCCGCGCCCCTTCTCCTCTGCGCGCGCGCGCGCGCGGAGCCGCGGGTACTTCAATTTCCCTCTTTCGTCTCGTGAAATCATAATCTCGTTAGAAGGAATATTCGGCGGGTTTCGACGCTAACGGCGGAACGATGAGGTCTCGCGATGCATAGATGAACGCCCGTAACTTCCTCGAGATCTTTGACGAGGGAGAGAATGAAACACTCGCTGATCATTCCGGGGCGAGAAGAAAGAGAGCAGGCGAGTCGCGGTACGCTCAGCCGCAAAGCCGGGCAGCTCTTTAATGGGATGGAGAGGGTGAGAATCTGAGTTTCGACGGAGGCGGAGGGAGGAAGCGAATCGCGAGAGACCCGCCGGCGAAACCGGGGACCATGAACTTGCCGGCGGTGTCATAACATCGCACCTGCGAGCGCTCGCGAGAGCGCGACGCTTTCGGCCTGCCGAGAGCGCGTCTACGAGGCTCGCGCCGGCGGCTATTACCACTACGTCGATCGAACGAGAGTGCCGTCGAAGGGGGTCGCCGGAGTGTGGAGGAAGTGTGGAGGTTCCCCGTGGTGCTACACGGCACAAGCCCGGTACCGCGCGCTGGTCAGTGGCCGCTGAAAGCGAAAGGACGATTGCGAGCTCGAGAAAGGGGGGGGGGGTACAAGCGCGAGGAGTAGGCACGTTGCTATAGCTGTGTACGTGCGGCGAGCATTTAGCCATTCCTTCCTCGCGTGGTCGAGGCACGTACGGCGCGGTGGTACACTTCAGGTACGGATCACCTGAAAGCGATACACACAGCAGCGGGGGTACGCTACGTGACGACGGGACGAGGCTGCAAGGGATTGCGCGTGTTCCAGGTCGCAAGGGTCCGCTACGTGTGGGGAGGGCAGTCAGCGTCGTCCAGCGTCGAAAGTGCGGAGGAACGTGCGAGCGATCAACGCTCCGAGAGCGGTCGCTGGCTGTGATGCCAGTCACTCGTGAAACGTGAAACGCGAAACTGGGCGAAAGTTTCGCGGCGTGCCCACCTGCCTGAGTTGTGGACGGCGAAAGAGAGAAAGGGGAGAGACGGACAGACGGCGAAGGAGAGAAAGGTAGAGCGAGAGGGAGAGAGTGGCACTCGGAAGGAATCCCGGAGGAGATTTCGTCCACCGATCGACGCCGTCGGTGTGTCGGTGTCGCTCGTTCGCTCGTTCGCTTTTATTACCTCGTACAAAGGTGCCGGACAGTTCACTCGGTCGGAGAGTGTCCTCGCGCAGTGTCCTCCAAGAGTGCACGCGAGACCTTGGGTTTCCGGTGCGACGTCGGAGCCTGGCCTGGCCTGGCCTGCCCTGCCCTGCCCTGCCGTGCCGTGCCGTGCCGAACTTCCGTCAGCGAGCGGTCGAGCAAGGTCAGTGAGGGGAGGAATCGCGCGTCGCGAGTTATCTCGGACCGATCGGCTCTCAACTGATGGCTCTCAACCCCCGGGATCTTTCAATATCTGTTTCCGAGACGCGAGTTCGAGTGATGACACGAGCCGGAGTGCGAGGACGGTTCGCGGGCTTGATTCCCGATCCGGATACCCCGCGCGATAATCGCGCGCTCGCTGCCGTCATCGCCATCGTCCTGGCACCGTAGCGCGATGTGTACACTCTCGCCAGTCGACCGCGACAAATCCCGTTCACTCGTGAAACGCCAACTGGAGCGAAAGTTTTCAACTGTTCCGTCGCCAGCGAACGAAAAACGGACGGACAAGCGATTTCGCCTGGGTCTCGAAATCGGGCACGGCGGCCAGCGAAATTCGTATCCCGAGGTCGTCAGAGCGAGCCGGGCGGGCGAAGAGCTTATCTCCAAACTGCTTTGAATCCATTTTCTATTTTCCGAAAAAAAGAAAAAAAAGAAAGAAATAAAATGGAGAGGAAGAAGAAAAATGGATATCACGGATGCTGTGAAGAATCTCTCCGTAATGGATAATTTATCACTCTTACGAAATGAGTCCGGGCTAAGTTCGGAGATAAGTTCCTCGGCGAGAGGCCGAGAGACGCAGAAAATGTAGACGCGCAGGGGAGGAATTTGAGTGGTCCTTGCGAAATTCAGCGAGAGAGGAATGTTTCGGTAGTTTATTCAGATCGCTTTCACAATATGACGGCGGAGTTGTCTCACGGGAATTAATTCAAGAAATATATCGACGACAGACCAATAATGCTCCGGATAAGCCGACTCGCCGCGGTGGGCTGGCGAAACTAATTAATGCGAAACCTAACAATCGCGAGTTACGGCCGCGACAGATACCTCGCTTTACTTCTGAGTGAAAGTACGCAGCAAAATCAGCGTTTTCCTCGCTCGACCTGAAGAAGATTCTCTGATAAGGCCATGCGATTTATCCACGTGCGATTTATCCCCCTCCCCTCCTCCCGCACACACATACGCGCGGTCTCCGGTTCTTTCTCTCTTACACCTTTCGCAAAGATAATATTTCGCAAAGATTACGTACGTACTCACGAGTGGCGTGTGCAAGGTGGCCATTATGGTGGTCAATGTCGTTTGTTCCCCGACCACCCGTCGGCCGTTGTCATCTCGTCAATCGTTCATTTCCCTTTCCCCGGCCGACCGGGCGGGATCGCCCGTGCACGATCGAAATCGCGAAACTGCGGCGCGCGAGCGAGCGGTGGCGTCGACGAGGCCGATCGGGTGTCGCTGGACTATTTTTCTATCGCTCCGATGACGCTTGGAAACTTCATCCGAGCGTGACAGCCGCCATTCGTTCGCGGAACGCGAAACACGTAACTAATGGCCGGCGAAAGTTTTCCTGGCTCATTCCCCGGCTCATTCTGCCGGCCTATCGCGCATGCAGGAAGTATCAAATGTATACAGTATATTGCACAAGTCATAAGAAGCCGAAGAACGAGCGCGCTCGAAAGGACGTAAGGTCCTCTACATAATATACTCGCCCCTGCAGCCAATCACTCGAGAGTGGCTCCTGAGAGCGCACTCGGCCCGTCATTCGCGTCCAGACGCAGATTCTCTACTTCGTCGTATCAAGCCGAGCCGGACAGCTGATTCTTGTTACCCGGCCGGGTGAGTGAATCTTGACGAGAGAGAGAGAGAGAGAGAGAGAGAGAGAGAGAGAGAGAGAGCGAGCTATTTCTCCTCGCCTTGTCGACAGCAGCGCGCGACGGTTCGTCCGCGTCGCGTCACGCTATCACGTTTTATCGCCGTCGAGCGTGCAGCCGCGAGGATACGCGCGCGCGGCCGTCGAGAGGATCGCGCTCTCCATTCACGGTCCACTCACATAATCGGCCGGCGGGCTAATCGCCAGCGAAAGTGTTTCATCTATTGAGTCTTCAATAATGCAACGCGATCGAGCCGTGCGCACCTTTCCTCCAAGAAGAATACAAGCGAGATAATACGCGCTCGGTGTCTCACGTTAATCTTATATATCCGCTCTCGTTTTACTTTCCTGCGAGAAACGTATCGGAGAATAAGCTGAATGCTTAATTAATGGAACAATCGAGGAGGTGCGCGTCTCGCGAGAAGAATAAGTAGCATTGTGCATTCCTTCAGTTCTCGAGCGCGACAGTCCTGGGGCTGATTCAGCGTGTATGTATGAATCCGAGAAACGCTCGCGCGCGCACGCGTGCGCGGATTCTGGTGGAAACTCGGTGGTGCGAGCCGATCGAATAAAAATCGTTCGTCGGTTTCATATTGAACCTGAAGCACACGGACACTTCCACTTGAGACGTTTCTACTCGAGCAATTTCGAGCGGGCAATTCGACCGAGTGCCTCGTGCCGAGCTCTACTTTTCATCGAGGTTGGCGACTCGTGCGTTTCGGCGTTTCGATATCGCGTTTTCACGCGAAACAATCAACGATGCGTGGCACGCACGTGCCACCTGCGTCTAGTCTGCGAGGACGAGCGACATTCGCTCGCGAAACGCGATGCATCAATCGGGGCGAAAGTTTCACCTTTTACCTGTCGCCGAGTGCAGACGGAATAAGATGAATGCGCGATGAGAGAGAGAGAGAGAGAGAGAGAGAGAGAGAGAGAGAGAGAATGTTTGAAAATTGTAATCGCGGATTTCTCCATCCTGAATTACGCGCTCTGGCTGGAAGGGCGATCTCGATTTAACGTAAACGCGTCGCCGTCACCGAGAGACACGCGCGCGCGCGGATAAAAATAGACGACTCGTCTCCCGACGCGGGTATTCCTCGGGAAATATCAAACTGATTGACGGGCATGAATCGCGTAACGTCAATTTGTTCGGGTTACGCTCGCTTGTTCCGTCGAAAGTGAAATCGCAGCATGCAAGAACCTCGTCATAGATCTTCATGTCGATTTGTCGCTGTGTTTCTCGCGTTCTGCGCACACGCAACGCTTTTTCTGAATAATCGCCGGTATCGGCCGGTGGATACCGGCAAACTAGCGTGTTATTTCGAAAGCATCAAACTGATGCAGCTGAGATTGCAATTTGCGGCGGAATCGACGGTTTTAATAAGTTCTCATCTCCGCGCGCATTATTCAGGAATCGAATTTCCTGTTGGGGGCAAAATTGGATCGAAAATAATAATCAGGCGAATAATTTAATTCGATTGTTAAATAATTACCGTTAAATGACGAGTGAATCAAGAGAAAGAGAGAAAGTACAAAAGCGGATAAAGAGAAATTTCGAACAACGTGTCGATTATTTCTCTGAGCTGACTATTTCGCCGAGAATATCGCAGGGATCCTCCTCCTTTCTCTCGCCGTCGGCCTATCACACGCGTCGGAAAATCGCATCATTATTACGGTATAATGCAAACGCAGTGCGTCGATGTCCGCAATTTCAAAACACGCAGCGCGTCGGCGAGATTGAATCTCGCCGTGATGGTCGCGGTTGCAAAAGCGGCCGGCGCGTTGCTTTCCGCTCGGCGTAAGGTTAATCGCGCGAGGGGGAGAGGGGTGGAGGAAGGAGATAAATAAACTTTTCCTTCTCTCGGGATCAACGTATCAGAACGCATTGTTTCTCCGTTAATCGGCAAGTGCGTGCAAGAGCGCGTCGAGCAGAGAGCACGCCTTTTACGACGCGCGTATGGCCGCGCGCTAGTGATGGCTTTGAGGCACGTTGAGTCGCCGCCAGAATGCAGCTGCCCGTGAAACCTCGAGCCCTCTGGAGCACCGTTCGGAAATTCGAGAAAATCTTCAACCTCCTGGACGGAGGTCTGGGAGAACCTCGGTCAGGGTAGATCGGTCGTAATCACGATCTAACACACGTAAAGACCGTATCACACTACGCGATTCGCGGCTGCGATTTCTTGTTTTCCAATCACACTTGCGATCGGCGATCGCGGCGCTGCGGCTAAATACTGTTAACATACTGTCACACGTTCACTCCCAGAGAAAGGGTTTACATTCTACGTGATCTACTGAATAATAGCCTATCTCCTTATTAAATTGTTTGTCGACATTTAAAAAGAAATATGTAACACATAAAACAACACTAGATATAACCTTGTTCCAATGATCACCGACTTCTACATTCTATTAAATAAATGTGATTATGACGAGCGCGTCACGTGATTATACGGAGTCCTGCGTGATTGGTTGCGACTCGAAAAATGGACAGTCGCAAATTGTAGCCGCGAGTCGCTGCTTTCCGATTGGTCGAGGAAGAATCGCAATCGCAATCGCAATCGCAGCCGCAGCCTCTGTCGCGAGTCGCTAGTGTGATACACGCATTACGCGCGTTGCAATCGAGTTGCAATACACTCGCGAATTCTCTTATCGCTCGCGTGGCTTTTTCCGAATTGCCATACAAAGCGGCTTCTGCACGAGCAACGTCTTGCGTCTCGCACTCGCCGAAGACCGAACTTCCGCAGCCGAGATTCAAACGCGCTCATCGCCGCTACTCGCGCGCAGGATGCGCGCCTTGCACGCGCCCACGAGCGCGAGGTGCGCTTTACAATTAGTGCAACCTGCAAAGACGCGGCGTCACGGTTCTGCGTACGGTTCGCCAGCAGGAGGACTTCGTCAAGTACGCAGGCAGGCAGGCAGGCAGGCAGGCAGGCAGGCAGGCGTCGACTCACCGTGAATAATTTCAACAGGGATGTACGAGGGGACAGCGTGACTGACTGACTTGATGCACACCGGAAGCGGAGAGGGACCGAAAATGTCGCCACAGAGGAGGACGTCCACCTTTCCCTCGTCATCGCCGCATTCCTGGCTGATCGCCGCGGTCTCGCTCATCTTTCTCGTCCGAGCGCAGCATGTAACAGGTATGTGCGCGCACACGTGAATTATTCCGCAATCCCGTCGGGGCGAATCGGCCGGATAAGAGCACCTGCCGACCGCAAAGGCTCCGCGATGATCGCGCGAGGATTCACGAATCTTCGTCGATGATCCGTTTTCAAGGAAAGCAGCGAGAGACGCGCTGCGAGAGATTCGCGAGCGAGAAGAATCGGACAAAAGTGTGCTCGAAGATAGTCGGTCGGCGGATAGGAAGGCGAAACTTTACAAACGAGAGTCGGTTTCGTTGAAGCCACGGCCGGGGGCCGTCCTGCAAAATTGCTGGGCTCAAGATCCACCGTTGGTTGAAAGGTTGGCTGAAAGGGGACAAATTTCCGGGTCTCTTCAGACTCGACTTCGCGGCATCGCGGCACCGCCGTTGCTTGATGACAGGGAGGAAGTATAATGGACGACTGCGCGCGGACCTTCGTCTGCCGGCCGGCCGGCCGGCGTTTGCAAGTACGGTTTGCGCGTGGGCGCGGTGCTTAATAATCCGGGCGATGGATCGACGACACGTAACGGTAAACGAGCGCGTCGAATGTCGGCGGGTGCGTGCAAGCGGCTAACGAGATATCGAATTAATTTCTCGGCGGCGGCGGCAGGGCTGCGCGCAAGGATTCATTAGCGGACCGCCCGCAAATTACGGCAAGTGCGATGTAAAGTGCGACCGCGATCTCACGATCTAAAATGGTAACGATGGGAATCAACGCAGTCCATCGCCGCCGGCCGAAGGCACGAGCGGAGAGGCTGACTCTGCTGCTCCGCGCCGCCGGGTTTCCCTCCTTCGTGTGAGTCTGTGTGAGTAAGCACGCGCGCGAGCTGCTGCGGCACGTGCGTGTGCGTGTGTTCGCGCTCGCGCGGCTCCGCGAGCATTGTTCGCCCCGACGACAATGCGGGAGCCGCGCAAGAGTGCACCGGCGCTCGAGCAGGAGGTGCTCTCTGTGTAGCGGCTAATTAGACTTCGCTTCGAATTCTCCTCGGTCATCCCCCGAGCGCCGAATCGCCGTCTAACTAACTGACATAGATCCGCCCAAGAGGAGTATCGACGCTTCTTTCTCGTCCCAGATCATTTCAGGTTACGTGTCGAATGTACGTCTCAGCCTGCGAATCTAATAATCTTCAAGCAACGCTGAACGAACCGGATGAATCGAGCGATATCATAAAGCCTGGTCTAATCTCAATGCGGATCGCGTGAGCTTTTCTCATCGTTTCTCGTAAAGATTACGAGAAAACTGGAAAAAGGAAAGTGTTTCATGGAAATTGCAAAGGCGCACCGGAAGCGTGTTATTAAGCTGCAATCATTACGCTGTACAGCCGCCGCTGTGGAGCCGCCGCGCCGCGCCGAACGAGCGTTCGATTTCGCGGATCGGCCGTTATTATTTGTGGCAAGCGCTTCCTCGCTCCTCACCCGAGGCGTCCTAGAGACGTCCTAGAGACGTCCGCGCGAGGGATGATACAACGTCGTCGCGTAAACCGCTTGGCAGCTCGAAGACGCATATGTCCGTGCGAGCTTCAACATCGTTCGTCCCAAACCCGTATACGTGAAGGAGCTACGGAAGTGCACAAAAAGCCCGCTGACCCTGGCCTACTTTCGTCAAAGCTTCGCAGGCAGCGGGCTTATTCCTGTAAATGCAACGATGAATGCGCGCGCGCGCGCGCACTCTCGCGAGACACGTATACGTGTGCATGCATATTCCGGCGTAAATATGTGTGTGTGCACGCGCGCTTTGTGTGTGTGTGTGTGTGAGTATCATGGCACGTGCACGTGTACAGGCAAGCATACCCATTGTCGCATACGTCGTATAATCCGTGCGTCCGGATGGAGATGTGCCGAGCGCTCGCGATTTTCTTGGCCCGCCCGTCTTTCAAAAGTAATCCTCCTCTCGCATCGACTTGAGCAACAGAGGGGACGAGAGAGAGAGAGAGAGAGAGAGAGAGAGAGAGAAAAAAAGATGAACGGTGGGAAAGAAAGGAGGGAGATTGCACGAGAAAACGCGAAGTGATTCCTTTAAAATGTCCGCAGTCCTCCGTCTGTCTCGTCGTCGAGCCTCGAAGAGGCTCCGCGACGCTCGCCGCAAGCACGCGCTAACTTATGGCTCAATTTATGGGCGAACATTAGCGCGCCGATTACGTAATTAAAAAGGACATTAAGAGCGGAACGGTTGACTCTAACGAGGGCGCGGGGGCGGGGGGAGGTGGAGGATGCTAGACGGGAGTGTTCGGGTAGGAGAGACTTGACTTTCTCAGCGATTACTACGGACTCTCTTCCTGTCTTCTGGCCCATGAGTCGAGCGAAACATTGTAAATCTGCAGAAAAATGAATGCTATACGCGAGTCTCTAAATCCATCGATCGAGAGCTGCAACGGACAAACGGAAATGAACGATCGGACCGAAGCCGGTACTTCACAGACACCTGAGCCTTGACAAAATTGATTTTTCCGCTCATAATTCACGTCGTTAACTCGTTTTGCGCGTAATCTATTAGTTTCCGAGGCGGAAAGTGACGGAGCAGGAGCCGCGACCGATTCGCAGCTCGCAAGAAAACGCGTGGATCAGCCTCGCCTGTGTGTGAGACGGTTAGAAAGTGTAAAGTTATTTTTAACGCGGCGTCTCCATAATAATTGGACTTAAGTCTCGCAATTAGTTCCGCCGCCGGCAGGCGGATTCGTAATTAAGGCATAACCGATCCGCGTCTGCGACGAGACAGCGACTGCGCGATCGTTCGTCGGTTTCTCGAGCATGTCGTCCGCTACGGAGGGGGGGGGGGACTATCGAGACAGCCGCATTAACGCGCGTAATCGGCATTCATCATGCATCATACGCGTAAAACGGCACGAACAGCTTCGTTCTGGCTCACCGAGAGCATTTATGTAAGCTGGTAGCGCGCGTCCGCTCTTACAGCAGATGTATTTGCATCTTGAGATGAGGAAGGCCAATGTCCGTTTCGTCAGTTCTTACCGCTCTACCGGAGGCTTTTGCTTCTTCCTCGAAGAATTAGCAGACGAAGTTAGCCTCGAAGTGGTCGGAAACGTCGACTGCACCGGTTAATCGATTGCAGAATGAGATCGCTCGCAATCCGAGCGCAAAAATCTCCGTTAAGGGTGATTTACACGATGCTGCTTTTACTCGTTCTGAGCAAGCTTCTTGAGTCGCCAGCGAATTCGCTGGTGAAAACTTCTTCTAGACGCTCGATTTTTATTCGCCAGCGTCTAAAATTTGGAAGACGCAGCGTCTATGGCAAAGTTGAACATGTCCAACTTTTACCGCTCGCGTCAAATGACATTAAACTGTCTTTTTTCTGTACAAGCGGATGCACCTTTTTCAAAAATTCCTCAAATTTCTCGCACATTAATCGCAATACTTTACGGTATGCGGTCGGATCCTTCAATGCCGATTCTTTGAAAAGATTATTTGATGCTTCATGAGTTAATCTTCTACCTATCCACTTACATACCCACATTCTTTTCTTTCTTTTCTTTTTTTTTTGTTACTGAGCCACGAATTTCTGCTTGAAAAGTTCGTGCACAAAGCACGACAGCAGCTTGAACTATGTCTAGAGTTTCCAATCCCAGATACAATTTAGGATCCCGGGATTTCGGGAATTTTTGGATTCCATCCCGGGATCCCGGGACTAGTCCCGGGATTATATATATGTAAAGAAAGAAGCAAGGAATATTTACAAATAGTAGAATTATTTTGTTTATAGAACAGACTTTTATGAACATTCACAGACTTTTATGAACATTATGACAAACAAAAAATAAAATTTCAGTAAAAATGAAAGCAACTTACATTAATGATTGTATAAAAACCGTTACAATTAAAAATTGAAGTTTTTATAATAGAAATAAAAATAATTATTTCTTCTTTTTCACATTTGAAAAAGCGACTTTAAAAATAATAAAACACAAATTTTGTTAAAAAATATCTCTGATCGAGGATCCCGGATTCGAGTCTGTGTTGCGCCGCCAGTTTATCCGCGAAATTTAAAATAGAAGACTCCCTTAATACTTAAAACAAATAAAAATAATATAATAATATAATAATATAATAATATAATAAAATAATAAAATAATATAATAAAAATAATAATATAATAAAATGGAATTAAATTTAAAATATAAATACACACTTCTCTAGCAAATGCTCTAAAACATCAGTAATAAGTAATAATTATTAAAGTAAAATTTTTGTAAAACGTATGTATTATATACAGGTTACGTGAAAAGTTCGCGGAGCGGCATCTATAAATAAACGGTAGAATTATAAATTGTAGTCGGTTATATAGAATCACTCTTCACATGAATCTAGGTTATGTTTCATTTCCATCTGTCAATTCTTTCTGTGTTTATAAGCCAATTGAAGTTGACATGTCAGTATATTTGTTTGCAATGGAAAATTTGAAACAGCGTGCACTGATTGAGTTCTTTGTTAAAAAAGGTTTAAAGGCAATGGGGGGAATTCATTCCGAGATGGTAAATGTGTTAGGGGAATCTGCCCCTTAAAAAACAATGGTTTGTAAACGGGCACTTGAGTTTCAACGTGGTTGTACAAGCATTGAAGATAATCCACGCAGTGGACGTCCAAAAAGCGCATCAACACCAAAAATCATTGAGCAAATACATGTTATTGTTTCTGAAGATCCAAGTGTGACTACGCGTAAAATTGCTCATACCATAGGCATTTCAGATGAACGGGTGTACGGCATATTTTGCATAAAGAATTACAAATGAAAAAGGTGTTTGGAAAAGTGGTGCCGCATACGTTAACAATTCAACAAAAACTCGCTCGAAAGTAAATTTCTCAGCGTCATTTGGATCGTTTTAAGAAGAATAAAACCGATTTTGTGCGTCGTTTTATAACTATGGATGAGACTTGGATCTATCACCATGATCCTAAATTGAAACAGGAACGTTTACAGTGGACTGAAGCTGGATGTTCAGCTCCAAAGCAAACAAAGCATAAAAGATCGGCAAAAAAGGTTTGGCA